GGGGGGGGGGGGGGGGGGGGGGGGGGGGGGGGGGGGGGGGGGGGGGGGGGCAGAAGCGCTTTTTTTCATTGGGTAGCCCTCTTACTACAGTACATCAAACGACTGATCAATCGAATATACAGAAAAGAGAGCACCAATAGATGAAGGGAATCATGGAAGTGCCCAGGTCTACAAGCCTAACCAGCTCTTCAGCGTTCGCATCGCGACCACCTTTCAACCCTTATAATATCCTACGAATTGCCACCACTTGTCGCGGGCTGCCATTGTGGCCTACCAATGTGGCCTAACATTATGTCATCTAGGTCTCTACATAGCTGTTGCGTCTACCGAAGCGACTTCTCTCGTGTTCTGCTGCACTTGTTGGCTCCCTCTCTCCCTCTCCCGCCCCCTTTTTTCTGCTGTGGATGTTTTCTCCGGGAGCAAAAAAAAAAAGGTTCAAACCTGCGGTTGACAGTCCAGCCGCTGGGGGGGTGAGCAGCAGCAAAAAGACCCAGAGGAGTTAAGCAGAAATTGGCCATAACCATGCGGTAGCTATACACCCCCGTCCCAAACCGAGGACTGCTATAGTGGGGTTGCTTGAAGGTGTTTGCTTCTGCCTGCATCGTCGGGACCATCACGAGGGAGCCTACGTACACAAACTGAAATTTCTGATGTACCAGTGATTTCTTTACACAACTGCTGTCATTGTCTGGAGATGCCATGCGGACATCTTTGACGCAATAAGAGAAACAAGGGACACCAGGAAAGCACACCGCGATTGTTAACCCCTTCAGGAGGATGGATCAGACACCCCTCGGATTGCCATGTGCTTTCTAAAAACATGCAAGTGGATGATACAGCAGAGACGAGAGCATCCTGTTCCTGGCAGAAATCAGCGCACTACAACCGTGGCCTACCTCAGCAACAGGCTGTCCACCTCGGTTGAAGCCGCTCGCACTACTGTAGTTTCAGCCATCTCTCCCGCCATCAGCAAACGCTGAGCAACCGGGTGTTCTCCCCCTTGTCTCTCCCTCTCTTGGTGGTTGAGGTGTGTTGAAAGCAATTTTCTAAATAGTGAAATCGTATGTGGCATGAGGCCACAGCACAGATGGTACTGCTGTAGCAGGTAGCGTGAACTGCTGGAAGTCGAAATAGATGACACACCCCTTCTTTTTCTCACAAGAAACGACGGGGCACCCTATCGGGCCAGTTACGTGTTACAAAGAATATGACTCTTTATATAACCAAAGAATATGACTCTTTATATAAAGAGTCATATTCTTTGACGTGTTACGTGTGTATACACAACTCGTTCCCGCTTTGCCCTACCCACGGTCGAGTTGCGTTGCTGAGAACCAACGCTCGTGCCGGCAGTACGCACACACATTACGTGCTTTGTTCCCGACATGTGTGTTGTGTGGACTGACGCCGCGACGTGGTGAGATACCAAGCTATGCCCCATATCAAGCCACCTGGGGCTGGGCTGCTACTGCGGCAGCGTGAGCCTCGTGCTTGAATCAAACAACCTACCTCATCATCAACCAGAACGCCGGTTGTGTTTTGGTACCACCATCATGATTGCCGACCATGACGCAACGGGCATGGGATAAGGGCGTGTTGGCGACGGCTGGCTGTGTAACACACGTCGCTGAGCAATGGCGGCGGTGAAGCTTCAGGAGGAGAGGCGGAGGTAGCAGCGGCCACCCGGTTTCGGCTTCTACGAGGTGAAGGATGTTGGTGCTACGACAGCAGTAAGTTGCAGCGCCTAGCCATCGTGCGGTGTATCGCGTGTGCCTCTCTGTTCTCTGTACGCCGCCTAGCACCCCGATGATGTGACGGCTCCTACTGTTCTACTGTAGTGTGCGTGCATCACAGGTACCGAACGTTTCTTTGTTGACAGGTCAACAGGTGCTGTCCTGCCGACAAAGAAGTCGTGACTCAGTCACCGGGTCTTTTCTCGCAAGCATTCCACGGGTGTTTAGTATAGTATAGTATGTTTAGTAGAGTATGGAGAACCTGTACTAACGGCTGAGTAGAGTAGAGTATGAGAGAGGTGAATACTCTACTCACCTGAGTAGAGTACAGAGGTCAGGTACT